CATTCAACTCCTTACAGATTTTACTTATAATTTTTAGTAATAACTTCCGCTTTTCAAATAAACCCAAAAACGCAGTTATGTTGCAATAGAGTAAAAAAACACAACTGTTCGCCCTGATGATATGTGATAAAATAGTGATATTGAAAATTTTGTTTTTGCTTTTAATGATAAATCAATGAAATTGACATTATCGTGGGTTACAGACATAGGGTAGACATTGGGCTTACGGATGATTAACCACTTTTATCACATGTTGTTGTTATGGAATAATTTAACAAAAGTGTTGATCAGTACAAGAATTGTGTCACAAATGGATAATAATTAAATGTAATAAAGAAATCTTTTTAAATAATAAATTATGTATTATTAAGCCGTGTATTAACTGAAAGTAAATAAAAATTACAAAAATTAATGTCTCAATTGTTGGCTAATATTTGAGTACTATTTTAGTGCAGAAAATGTACTGTTTATTGTAATTATATCTAGATCATGATCGAGATAGAGTAATATTGCAATTAAAATAAAATACTAATGCATAAAATAGAAATTAAATAATATTAATTATTTTCAAAATTCCTGAAAATGTTAAGAATTACTTTAATAAAAATTAATTTTATATTAAACATACAATACTAATGTCAAACTTAGCAAATATTGTAAGTTATTCTAAATGATACAATTAATTGTCCAAGTAAGTTTAACCTTCTTGCAGGCGAGCTAATTCTTTTTTGTAAGTAAATAAAAAACCTAACTAAATATTAATAGTTAATTAACTAATATGTTAACTATTATACTGTATTTATATATTCTACATAACATTGTCCGATACAACGCGATCGTTGGCCTCCATATGTCTTACGGCCGCTTCGCTATCATAGCATATATTTAGGCCCAAACTCTTGAGTCTCTCCTCATATGTATTATCAAATGTCTGGCTCTGGGCTGCGGTAAAGGTGTCGGTCCAGCGCCCGATCTGACCGCTCCTCATGAATCGGCTCTCTTTCATATCAAACAAACCCTTTAGAGTAAAGTTCTCGCGATTAACCATTTTGTTGTCTTTCATTGACTCAAACGAGCAATGATTGGCTATCGTAGCGATGGTCTCGTCGGACAGCCGGCGGCCCATAAAGTTGGCCATCAGTGCAATCATTTTGGGTAAGTCTGTGTTCAGCTCTTCATAGGAAATGAACAGCACTTTTGTTGGGTTTTGTTGGTGTAATCGCCAAAAGCCCTCCACGTGTTGCAGCCAATCACCGTAGACCAGGTGTCCGCCGACAAACAACTCGCTGAACTCGTCCCACGAGCCCTTGTAGTTGCCTAGAAATGTGCTCATTTTGTGATGATGGTAGTACGAGACAGCCGTGTCCTTTGGGTTACGCACCACGTAAATCAACTTTATAGATTTTTGATAACATAAAAATTAATCTAGCTAATTCTTACAATAAAACATAAATAATTGCCGGTTATAATAATATAATTAATGTTGTAAATATTTAATTTTAATTATTATTAAAAAAATATCATCAGTTTTGCTGTAATTACTAATTATACATACTTTGCATTTGAATCGCTTTAATTGGTCGGGAATATGAGTGGCGGGCAAATGGGTGGCAATGAGTCGCCGACCCTTTTTGGATTTCAACCACTTGTTATGGGCGACGGGTAGACCCACTTCCAGGTGCTTCACACGCTTTGGCAACAGTTTGTCCTTAACTTTGTCCACATCTCCGCCGTTGTCTATGAGGGACAGTATCTCTTCAGTCCAAGTCGTGCCCGACTTGGGATACGTGGCTAACCAGATGTCGTCCGCCCGCACCTCAAACCTGTCTATTTTGGTCAGGAATTGAGGGAATATAAGGTAACCCTGAAGTAGTATGTGGTCAAAACGCAGGGCATTTGGTATCGACCTATAAGTGTGTTTAATTTTAGTAGATGCAATATTGTTTAAAATATTTTGTATCAAACACTTTCATGGTAAATATATTGCTATTTAATATATTTTTAATTTAATAAAAAATAGTTTTGATTTTTTACTATTTAAATAGCATTTAATACTACTACTACCAACAAATTATATAACAAATTAATTTAACATTATTTATTTAATTTTGAGGTGTTAAAATTTTATTTATATTTGTAAGTATTTAATATTTAAAATAACGATCCCCGTTGTGAGCCTAAACTTACATACCGGACATATTGTGCCCGCAGGACGTCGTTGTCCAGACCGGGCTCGTCGGCCGCCACTTTAATATTAACCGCTCGACTGTTGGTTAGTTTGCGTATAAATTTTGTCTCGCGAATGTCCCAGATGCATTTCAACGCAAACATTATTATCTGTAAAAATCTACACTATTCAATTAATTTATATTAACTTGTCATGGAAAATGTTATTTAAATATAACTAACCATATATTTATATAGATAGTGTAAGAGTATTTATTAAATATTATATAAAATTTTAATGTCATTGCAAATTATACAAGTAATTCCTGGAACTCAGATTTTTTGACCGAATGTCAAGTTTACTACACCAAAAACTATTGTCTACATTAAATATTAATCAATCGGCACTTATAAAATGAAATATCATTATTAAAAATAAAATAATTAACTTAACAAAAGTATTTATTGTCAATGTCAATGTAAAGTTACCTAAGTCATATTTTATTACTTATATCAGTTAAAAATTGTTTTATAATTAAAAATAAAATATTTATAATTTAAAATAAATATTGCCTAATTTATATATAAAATATACACTTAATTTTGCAATTTAACTAGATCTCTGTTTATTTTACAGATTTTATTACTTTAAAGTTTAATAAGTATAATTGTAATTTTATAGTTGTAATGTCTTTGAAAATTCTACATGTAATTCCCGGGGCTTATGTTTTTTATAGCACAATTGAACCAAAAACTATTGATTGCATTAAGCATTTATCAATCAGCATTTATGAAATGAAATATCATCATCAAAAACATTATTATAAGCCTAACAAAAGCTATCATTGTCAATGTCAATGGCAAGTTATTAATGTCATAATTTATATTAATTAATAATCCCAAAAATTGTTTAAAAAGATCAGGAAGAAAATATGTTAATATAAAGTAAATTTTGCAAAAATTGTATATAAGACATATAATTAGTTTAGCAACTTTGCAAGATTCATTTGCGTGAACAGAGCAAATTAGTTTATACAGATTTATAAACTCAAACAATAAACTTAATGTCAAAAATCTTATTTTTTAATTTCATTAAAATAACCAGAATCATTCTATTGTGTAAAGACTTAATAATGTTAATGATCACTTTAACTATTAATTTATTACATTATAACTTGCATTTAATAATATTCTAATAAAAGTGGTAGGTTATAAAAGCGCTTACGAAACTACTTAATACTTTATTTAAACTAAAGGTAGTTAAAATTATAAACAACTATGTTCGCTTTAATTGCACTAGTTTTGGCTAATAAATGGCTAGTGATAATCACCACTTTAGCCTTATTACTAGTCTATTACTTTAAGTAAGTTTTAATTATGCTCATTTTTATTACTTAATATAAATTAATGCAAATAAAAAAATGCTATAATGAAATACAAATATAGTCTACGGATGAAAGCCTTTAACTACTGGTCGGACAGAAATATTTTGGGTCCGAAACCGATACCAATATTCGGTAACTTTTTGTCATTTTTCTTCAAACCTTTGCCACATTTGGAGTTAGAGTGGTATCACAATTACGGCGAAGTCTACGGGTAATACATATTTTAAAAATTACAATATTTATAACAAATAATAAAATACATTTTATTTAACCCTTGAGTACATTCGGTGGCAATAAACCGGAGTTAATAGTCTCAGACCCGGAGCTCATAAAACAAGTTCTGGTAAAAGACTTTCATTCGCTGCGAAACCGACGAGACATCGGAACCCGACATAAAGTGTTCACAACTGTTATGTTTTTGGCCAAAAACGACGACTGGAAGCGCATCCGAGCCATAGCTAGCACTGCGTTCACGGCATCCAAAATCAA